ATGTACGTCATAGAATGACAGAATCTTTGAAAGAGTGTTCAAAGAAAAAAGCCATTGAAAATATAGAAGAGGAAATTGAAGATACTCATGTTGATTCACCAATTATCATGAGTAGTGCAAAAAAGAGAAAATCTATAGGGAGTATGGATAATTATTTTGCTCCTCGCACAACCCCTGATTCTCAACCGGGTATTAAAAGTGCGTTAGCAACCAAAGAAGCGAAACACAATGTAAAAATGTTGATTGCTGAGTGGGCCATTGTGAATTGCATTCCATTTAAAGCATTTGATTGCCCGTTATTTCAAAAAGCTGTAGATGGTATTGCTTCAATTGGGCCTGGGTTTAAAGCCCCTAGTGCTTATGATTTCAAAACCAATTTGCTGAGTGATTGGAGAAAAGAATGTCAGTTACTAATAGATAGCCATCGAGCTAAATGGAAAAACAATGGCTGCACACTCATGGCTGATGGATGGACTGATGTGAGGCAACGTACTTTGATAAATTTCTTAGTGTATTCTACACACGGAATGGTGTTTGTGAAGTCTGTTGATGCTTCAGATTTAGTCAAAGATGCCAAAACTCTATTCACTCTATTCTGTGAAGTCATTGAGTGGATTGGTCCTAAGAATATTGTCCATGTAGTAACTGACAATGCAGCTAACTATGTAGCATGTGGCAGGTTGATTAAAGAAAAGTATAGAAATATTTATTGGTCACCTTGTGCTGCTCATTGTCTGAATCTTATATTAAAAGACTTTTCCAGCATGCCAAATGTGTCAGACCTCGCATCAAAGGCATCCAAGGTAACTATCTTTGCATATAATCATATGGTTTTCTTATCATGGTTGAGGAGGAGACCGAGTTGGAAAGAAATAGTGCGTCCTGGTGCCACAAGATTTGCTACGACATTTATTACATTGCACAGCATATATATGCATAAAAATGACTTGCAGGCTCTGGTTGTTGATAAGCATTTTGTGGATCATAGATTATCAAAGACTGAGGCAGGGAAAAATTTTAGTGCAATCATTTTAGATAACCGGTTTTGGAATGACTGTTATCAAGTTGTGAAGATTGTATCTCCTCTCATCAAATTATTGAGAATTGTGGACTCAGATGAGAAGCCTTCATTGCCTTACGTTTATGAGGGGATGAGAAGGGCAAAAATAGCAATTAAGGAGATGTTTAAGAAGAACAAGGAATTGTATAAGCCTTACACAAGAATCATTCAAACTCGATGGGATAGACATTTGAAGACCAATCTTCATGCGGCATCGTATTTGTTGAATCCTGCAATTACATATGGTCCAGATTGTCCTAGCAAGTCAAAGTTAATGATGGCTTTGATTGATGTGGTTGAGTCTTACTCAGATGAAGATATTGATGGCTTCCTAGTGATGAAACAAGCGACTACTTATCGCGAAGGCAAGGAATCTTTTAGCAGGCCTTCATGTCAAAAAGCTGCTCAAAAACTAGACCCCTGTAAGTATTATTATTATTTATTGTATTCATGATTATTCACTAATTCTATATAGTATTGGATACTAAATATATTTTATTATGTAGATGAATGGTGGACATATTATGGTTGTTCAGTTCCAGAATTGCAGCGTGTTGCAATGCGCATTCTTAGTCAAACTTCTGCTTCTTCTGGTTGTGAGAGGAATTGGAGCTTATTTGAAAGAATTCATACGAAAAGAAGAAACAGATTGGGACATAAAAGACTGAATGATTTGGTTTTCACCAATTATAATCTGCGATTGAAGCATAGGTAATCTTGGAAACAGTGGATAACTTTAGTTTTTTTTTAATTGTTTATATTTATCTAATATTTTGTTTGTCATTAAAGGAATACATTGAAGAAGAGCAAAAGTTATGATCCAATTGACTATGAAACATTGATATGGTGGATTTTTGGTGGCTGAAGAAGATCCCACTCCGGAATTTGATGATAGAGATGTGGATACATTGGAAAACGTCCTTAACAATGATGGCACTGCTAATTCAACAACTCTTGAGAGTGCTAATGAAGGTTTAATATATTTAATTAAGACTCTATTCTTATACCAATATATAGTTTTTGTATAATCTTTAATGTTGGTCACTGTCTTATATAGGTGATGAAGATATGAACATTGCTGACCCTCCACCTTTACAAGATGATGTTGTTGCGCTTGCTTTTCCTTGTCCAGCTGTTGACATCTCAGCCCATGCAAATGATCTTAGTGATGATTTTTGATTTTCCCTAGTTAAGATATACATTTCATTAATGTTTGCTTGGTACTATTAAATATTTAAACTACTACTTTTGTAGCTTCTCATCTTTTTTTTAGTGATTATTACTTATGAATTTTGTTTTATTTTAATATTATGAATTAATTATATTATTTTAATATGACCGGTCCGACCCCGGTTCAACCTCGGTTCGACCAGTAACCCTTGACCCACTATCTCGACCGGTTTGATGCCCGGTCCGGTTTTTTGTTCCTTGAGTTTAATACAGATGGAGCAGTTAGGAAGGGTGACGGTTTTGTTGGTTGCGGAGGGGTTTTCCAGGACTGGGAATGACGTTGGATAGGAGGGCTTGACTGATTTTTCTAGTTTTTCTGATTTGTTTGGGGTTATTAATATTATATATTGTTTTGGTCGATATATCTAATCTTTATATTATACTCTGCTAATATTTCACTCGCACGTCTTAAATTTCTGATTTTTATAAATTTTCTATTCCGCTAATATTTACTGTGGCTGGAGTTGGGCTGCTGACTGCTTTATTTTTAATTATTATATGATATGATATAAATAAATAACCTGATAACAATATAATCTCGTATTTCTAATTTTTATTTCCAATATTTTAATGAAGAAATGGTTAGTTATGTGGTTGGACATGTGTTAACAGAAGGGCTGTTAACACTCTACTTTATATATTAATATATAATATATATATTGATGATTTATTGATTTTCTCTGTACTCTCATATATTTATATTTTTTAAATCTTCTATCCTCTTTAGATGTTTTTTTCCTGTTCAATTACAGCATAATTCTAGTTTCTCTATATTATACACGTACATATAATGAAATAACGATTTATTTTTGTTATTCTTATTACCTATAATTTTGTAATTTACAAATTTTCATGAGCTATTCTTAACAAAATTTTTATGATGAAATTAGACTATTCTATAAATTTTTATCGTCAATCACAAGACAATCTTACAAATTAACAAGTTCAGTTAGCAACTTATAAGTGCCTATTAACTATTCATATCAAATTTTTTGCAATTGTTCAGTAAACTTTTGTTCTTATTTAATCACATGATAACTATAGATATTAATAGGTACTCCCTCTGGTATAAGAAATTAATTAAAATCAATTTAAAATAATAAATATGTAAGACATATATTTTTTCTAAATATATTTTTATTAACGAAGAGAATAAATAAAATATGCAACAACTGAATGAAAAGAAAAGAGAATATATGAAGATAGAATAAAAAAAAACTCAGTAAATGTTTAGATTAAAGTGAATGTTATCTTATATAAAAATAATCCTTCCAACAAAGTTTTTTTTAAAAAAATATTTTGAACCGGGAGTAATGATTAACAATTCACAAATTTTCGTTAACTATCCATTACAAAATTTTTACAATAAAATTGTCACGGAAGCGATGACCGGAGCTCCAACCATCGCTAGTTACGAGCTCCACTCGTGAATGGGATAAACCCACAGTCACTCGTAGAGGTGCCCTTGAAAAAATGGAGGAAGGCTTTTGAGAAAATGCCAAAATTCATAAATTCCGAATTGGGTTTTTATTTGACTTTTTTAATTTCTCATTTTTATATGAATATAGTACTATTAGTATTAATGGAGGAGTAATAACAAATGCACTAATAAAAATTAGTGTAGTTAGTAAAGAGTCAGCTTATGACTTACAAGGTCATAATATTTTCCTAGTAATAATTAAGGAGGAGGGGAGAACAACAATAATTAAGTAGAAAAAGGGAAGAGAAATAAAAAAAAGGGTTAATTAATCTGCAAGTCCTTATAGTTTCAACGAATTTTGAATTAGGTCCCTATAGTTTTTTTTCTTTTTATTAGATCCTTATACTTTTACCTTTTTTTAATTAGGTCCTTGTATTTATTTTTCTTTTAATTAAGTCCTTATAATTTCACTAAATTTTTAATCAGGTCCATGTAGTTTTAATTTTTATTTATTAATTAAATATAAGCTCAATTAAATAGATTAATACTGAAATATAAAATATTAATAATTAAATTAAATTAATAATTATGTAATAAAAAAGTAATAGAATTAATTAATTCAGGACGATTTTTTAGAAAAATTAATTTTTTTGCTGAAAAAATTAAAATCATTATAATAATTCAATATCTTTAGAATATTATTGTTTATAAACTAATATTAAATAATATATACTATTTTATGTTTATATAATAGTACTATTAGAATTTATAAAATAAAGAATAAAAAATTCAGGGATTTAATTAAAAATAAGGTGAACTTATAAGGACTTGATAAAAAGAAAATTAAATACAAGGACCTAATTAAAAACAGGTGAAAGTATAAGGACCTAATAAAAAGAAAAAAAACTATAAGAACTTGATTCAAAATTAATTGAAACTATAAGGAGCTGTGGATTAATTATCCCTAAAAAAAATACTTAGAATATTTTATAAAAAAAATCATATTAATTAATTTAACTAACATCTTTAATATAATGAGTAGGAATATGCGGAGCATGGAATAACATCCGTTGAGGTCATCAACCGAATGTATATAAGACCATGTTTGGACAAAAACAAAATAAAGCCCAGCGAAATCCAGGTGTCATTGGCATTAATTTTCTTTGAGCACGCCCTTCTTCCTGGTCTTCTTTCCATTTATTTGAAGTTCGTTGTGTTGTTTAGCTACCAACGCGCGAGCTCTCCTTGCCTACTCGTCGTTGTCGTTGCGATCTGCCCCCAGCGCTGAACCAGAAAGTTGCTGAGCTAAGACACTTGGCATTCTCAGGGATGGCACTCTCGCGGCTTCGGCACCCTTTGATTTCTCGGGCTCCTTCTCTTCTTAAGGCTCGCCTTCTTTCTTCATCATATGCCTCCTCCAGATCCCTATATGGGTACTCTCTTTTTTCTGTTCTTGATTTTTCCGTGGAGGAAAATAGTTTGACTTTTAGTGGTTGTTCTTTCGTCTTTCAATTTTGTTGAAATTATGTATTTTTTCTTTGCCCACTCGATTGGGTCTATGTATCTGATTCCTGGGAGTTGGAAAATCACGTTTCCCAGTTTTACTCTATCTGAGATTGCTGTTATCAATTACGTATCTCTTTCTATCTGGGAACGAGGGTGTACTTTGATGATGTGATTATGTTGTAGGGTGATGATCATGTCAAAGAGTTGGATATTTCTGTAGCATTTTATGATTTAAGACTTGTGTAGGAACTACAGTGAATTGATTGAATGGAGTGCTAACTTTTGGAACATTCAAAACGGTATAAAGCTACTATTGTGGGGGAAAAAAATAGATGTCCCTATATACTTCAAAAAATCTGTTCTTACCCTAAATAAATATCGACAAGTAAAAAATAACAGATGTCATGAACTTCGGAATATCTCTAAGACATCCGACAGTAATAATTATTTAGTTCAAAATTGTGCTGTTTTGGCATTTGTTGTAAACTTCATTTGTGATAAAAAAGGGAGTTCAATGCCACCTGGGCTATTAGGTGGCAAAGATGAAATGGGATGGAGTAAGGGTTCAAACCCTGCTAATGTAATTAGAATATTAAAAGATGGGAGTTCAATGACTTACCTTAAATAATCCAATGTACTTGGAGCAAAACTATGACTTATAAACTGAATCACGTGCATGGATCCAATTTTGTTACACAGAAGATACACCTTTCTTGGGAGAAGGAACTGTTGAGACAGAAAACTTGGAAGTTGAGAAGAAAAATACCCACACACATTAGTTTACATATGCTGCAAAAAAAAAAAAAAAAAAAAAAAACCCTTGCAGTTTTCCTGTTTAACTGATCATAGAACTATCATTTGCATTTTGAATTTAGAAAAAAGGAACAAGAAACTGGTTTTGTTAAACTTAGATTCTATTAATATTTAAGAGATGTCTTTGTGTTCTCTCTCTCATTTGGGTCTATCCACTCAACCCCTGTAGGGTGTATCTATTTATTCCAACATAGTTGATATTTGTTAAAACACAAGAAAAACAAGTCTTGTCCCATCTAGGTGGGTTTAGTTTCATGGATCACATTGTCAATGTGTCGTTTTCTATCAACAACTCACTCTTTAAAAAATCAGGATCTATCAACAATAATGATATTTGTTAAGTAAAGTAAGAAAATCAGGTTCAAAAGTGCGTAATTGTCGTTAGAAGTAGCTCTCAATAGAAAATGGCCAGTTTTTGGCACCTAGCTCTAGATCAATCATGTTAATCCTCATGAAGGTTTTCTGGATGAAGCCAAACTTTATCTCATTAGGTGGGGTAAGCTACATGGATACTATTATACTCTCTCAACAACCAACTCTTTCAAGAAATAATTTATTAAGAGATCCAATTTGATAATTTCTTAGTCGTTCTTTGTCTCCCTCTACCCCTCTATATAGGACTCAAGACCATCTGCTCAACTTTTCTCATTGGCGCCTTTATTAGCCTTTTTTTGAACATGTTCAAACCACCTCAAATGATTTTATACCATTTTCCCCCTAATAGATGCCATGCCATCTTTTTCTTGTATGTATTCATGACAACATGTCTTTTCTTGTACGGTTCCACATACGTCCCAACATTTTTATCTCTGCTACCTCAACTTTTTGTTTTTGTAATCTATTCAATCTCCAGTGTTCACTATTATATGACATTGCTAGTCTTAAAATTATTTGGCAAAAGCTTCTTTTAAGCTTAGTAGGCACCTTATGGTCACAAATGACCCTTGATGCCACCAACTCATTTCTCTTAGAGGGAAGCAATTCAACCCATCAAAGTAGCCAACTTCTTTGTTTCTAAAAGATACTAATTAGAAGTTACTGTGTTTGACCGTACCAAAAGTGGCTTGTGTATCATTTTGGTTGGCTGAAAGTGAAAAATTTGATGGATATTTTGAGTTGCAATCAACATAGAATTTGGCAGCCTCCTATTTGAAATAATTTGGTATGCCCTGAATTTTATTTTATTTTTTTGTGAGAAGATATGCCCTGGAATTGATGATTGGGAGGCTATGATAGTCTTGTGGGATTGAAGGAGAGTTTGATGGAAATTGGAATTGGAGGTTGCATAAGGTGAACATTTTTTTGTTAGTTTTCATCACAACTGGCAAAGTTAATAATAAAAGTAAAGATAAATAAGCTCCCCTTTGTGGAGATGGGAAAAAACCTTGGTACTTCAGTTATCTTTATAGATAATATTCCATATCTGTATGTGTTGCTCGGTGTGTCCTGCTGCAATTAGGCCAATCAATTACTAAAAGAAAATGGTGGTAGCTAGTAGCAATTACTTATTGCTGAACTGGTGGTCTTTATCCGGAAAAAGGGCCCTAGTGTCGGCATGTTGTTTATTTTGAGATGACACCATAAATGAAATGTTCTCAAAGCAGTTTAAGCTAATTATAGAATTGCTTTCTAATTTTTAATATGTTTTTGGTTATGTTGTTGCAGAACTTCTAATTCGAGGAATAGGTCTGTGGCCAGTGATGGGAATCTTTTGAGGTTTGCATCCATTTGCCTATGTTTTTCTCATTAACTACATTTTAACCACATATTTGCTTAAAAGAGTTTTGTCAATCTCTCTGCTTGAATTCATGGAATTATGTTGAGCATGGGAAGTTTTGGTAATATTTCAATGTGACTTGGAGTGTCAAACTTGTCTCTAATTTTTGTCTCCAGTATTTTGGATTGGGTGATAATTTTGCTTGAATTGGGCTTCTGAAATCAACATGCTAAATTTAACCAGTATAAAATTGCCTACACAAGTTTCAACACAGTCCAGCATCAAATGATCTGATCTTCTTCAGGTTTCAACATTCCATGGTTGACTGGATATTTTCTCATGTATGTTAGACTTATGGACTAAAGGGGAATTGACATATTCTACTATGCATATATCTCGGCAGTCTAGATTCATGATGTTTGAACACATTTCCTTTCCTTTACGTTGTCATCTTGATAGTTCACTAATGCTGAAGTTTACCAGGCCTGCATTGTTACCCATGCTTACTGGAGTTTGCGATAACTCTTTGGAGTTGAAGGTTAGTGTTTAAATGCACAATAAATGCCTATTCCTTGCATGTTTACTGACAACTTTTATCATTTTTGGCAGTGGGTTGGTGTCAAGTTTTTCTCGTCTTCAGGTACATACCTGATTTCTGTTTTCATTTTTCCAATTGTTCTCTAAAATAATCTGCCTGTAAACTCTTTTTGAGTAGCTGGTTTAGGCATCTCATTTTGGAGAATTCATGTGGTTTCTTGTTTAGGAAGTCATTTAATTTGTCATGACATATGTATTATTTTTACAGATCTTAGAGTTGTTGTGAGTTATGACACTGACATTTGAAGCTTCTCCTTTTTATTTAATCTATTTGTAATAAAAGGACATGAGTCCTTACTTGTTTAATATTGTTCTGAATGTTCTAACTGAGCTTATTTAAGAAAAAATCCCTAAGAGCATGCTTTTTGCGGATGACATAGTCCTCATGACTGAATCAAAAGAAGAGATTAACTCTAGATTGGAGTTACGTAGAAGGACTTTGGAGTCGAAAGGTTTTCGCTTGAGTAGGAACAAAACAGAATATATGCATTGCAATTTTGGGGTGAAGTAAGGCAATGGTGATTTGGAGGTGAAGATGGGAGTTCAAATCATTCATCAAGTATAAATATCTAGGATCTTTTGTACATGAGGATGGTGAAATTGATGGAGACATTTCTCATAGAATACAAGTGGGCTGGTTAAAGTGAAGGAAAGCTACTAGAGTTATTTGCGACGAAAAGGTACCTGAGAAGCTTAAGGGAAAATTTATCGGACTATTATAAGATCAGCTATGTTATACGGTAGTGAATGTTGGGCGATAAAAGGAAAACAGGAGCATAAAGTTGGGATAGCAAAAATGAGGATGTCGAGATGGATGTGTGGTCATACTAGAAAAAATAAGATCCAAAATAAAAATATTAGAGCAAGAGTCGGTGTGATGCCTATCGAAGAGAAAATAGTTGAATAGCGCTTAAAGTGGTTTGGGCATATGCAGAGAAGGGTATTGAAGGCCTCGGTGAGGAGGGCAGATCAGACAGTATGGAGTCCCATAAAAAAGCACAGAGGAAGACCGAGAAGAATGCTCAATGAGATTATTGAACGAGACCTCGTGATCAACAACATATCTAAGGACTTGGTTGTTGATAAGGCACAATGGTAGCGTGTGATTCATATAGCTAACCCCACTTAGTGGGATAACGCTTTTTGTTGTTGTTGTTGTAATAAAAGGAAATAGAAATTTCCATATGGAGCAAAGCACAGATGATGGTGATGTTTATGTGTACGTGAAGAAGTAGATAAGAAAAGCTGTAATGGAAGTTAAAGTAATAAGGCTATTAGTTTGAGTTAGGGGAAAAAAAAAAAAGTTAGTTTGAGGCCAGAAGTCCTTTAGATACAAGCTGGAAAGCTAATGTATTTGTGGGACCTAAAAATAGTGCCCCTTCTCTATTTGCCTTATAATTTGGTTATATCTTAATGCTCTGTTTTACCTTAGATTTACCTTGCTTAGCTTGGCTAGGTTATATTCTGTGATTGGTCTGCTTCTGGAATAGTTCAATTTGAGTGTATTCACCTCTGTTTCCTCAGTTTCCAATACATGACAAGGTTGTTATAGTACCTAGTAGTATCCAAATCACCCTGCCTTAACTCATGATAGACCCTTTTATCTATGATATGGCAGCAGTATTTTCTTGGGTGGAATAACACTTCCAGATTGCCTTCCAAGTCCCTTTAGCTGTATGGAAGACAAGAAAAGTTTGACCAATCTTAGGGGTCATAGAATTGATGAGCCATGACTTTACCATGTTGGTTTCGGCATACCAGACCTTCTATTTAGGGTTTGGTTGCAATGGTTCAGCTGCCTTTCTACGAGATATTCCTCTTTGCCTTGCCAACCGTGTACATGAGGATGCCTTGGGATCATTGTAGTAAATTGTTCCCATTGAAGCAATGATTAGTAATGGAGTTAGGTTGGGTCTTACTCATAGAAGTATGCAACAAAGAAGGATGCGATAGAGGAGCTCTATGAGTTTGGTCATTGTGAGCATTATCGTCTTTGGGCTTCTTAGGGCTGCTCAAGGTTTTCAAAGTGCGAAAGGAGCCAAGGGTTACCATGGGTCATAAAGAACTAGGTGAACTAAGATGACTTGTTGAGGCTATAATTAAGGTGTATATTTAACACGTTTATGATTTTGATGGAAACTTGGTAGTATGGGTTATTAAGTCCCATGTTGAGTAGTATGAGATGCTCAATGGGGTATTTGAGTGAGTTGGTTCTTCCATCTCAGCTGTTGACTTTTGGGGTAGGATTTTCCATCCCACTTAGGTACTAGGCACTCATGGTATGAGAGCTAGATTGTTGGCAGTTTCGGAGATGGCTACTCATAGAGGGCTCTAATTGGCAGGAGGTTAAGTGAATTGCCAAGTGGTGCAGCCTCTAAGACGTCCACTTTTCACTGGGGGCCAGCTCATAGCAACTTGTTAGTATGTGATGAGAAGTCCCACATTGAGTGGTATTAGATGCTCAATGGGGGTGTTTTAGTGGGCTGGCTCCCCCCCCCCCCCCTCAATAGCTAACTTTTTGGGTAGGGTTCCCCATCCCATTTAGGTGCCCACCGTATTTGTTATTTTAATAATATAAATATGTTATTTTAACTTTGCATATGCTAGGTAATTTTAACTATTATATCTTCTGCTCATATGTTAGAAGAGATATCTAAGAATTAGTAGAAAAATTTGATGCCTGAGATCCTAGGCTCAGGGTTAGGTGTCTGCTTATATTAAGACCTTTGTATTCAGTTTTTGATTATGGAATAAGAAAATACAGAGGTGCACTACAGCTCTGACTTCTACACAACCATAAATGATTTGAGATAAGGAGCCGGAGCAGATGATATAGCACTATAGGCATTTCCAAGCCTGCCTATGACAATAACTTTGTTGTAGGTTTCCCAAGTTGATTAAGGATTGTGTGGAATCCCACGGGAAAAAAAAAAAAAACTGATTGTGTGGAATAAAGAGGCAAGTAACACAGTTGGGCTGCTGTTAAAACAGCATGGTATAACTAGTTGCAGGACACCATTGACAAAAGTGTAATTTGACTTAAGGAGTTGTACAAGATTTTGTTCAAAGTCTCAAAATCACTTGCAGTGGACTAGAATATATTTGCAATTTGGGGAATAATAAAACTTGTGATTCATGAGTTCCCTTTGAATTTCCAGTTTCATTTTGAGGGAATCTTGTGCATTTTCTTTGACGAATCCAACAGTTTCATGAATGATTTTTAATTAATGGGACTGCAAAGTCCAGCTGAAACTGTATTTGAAAAGGCTTTATATATATATGTATATATTTATATCTCATTCCAGGTCTATAAATTTCAGTTAAACAGCTTGGTTTGTCCTGTTTTCTTGTTCAAGAACTTGTGCACAAAGTTGGTTATTTTAAATGTTTTTGATATTTTAGTAATATTGTGGCAATTACAAGGCACAATCTGCTAATATCAGGTCATGTGCCCAGGTTATGTTTTGATCTGACGCTGATTGCTTGTTTCTAATTTGTCTAGATTCTTCCCATTTGGTCCTTGCGATGCCCGCCTTGTCCCCCACAATGGTGAGCTTACATGAATAACTTTACTCGTCATTGTTGTATCTTCATTCCTTTTATTGCTTCCATAGAGTTTGGCTAACTGCTTCCTGTGGTTCCAGAGCCAAGGTAATATTGCAAAATGGCGAAAAAAAGAAGGAGATAAGGTCAGTTAGGAAATAGTTCCTTCATGGTTGCAAGTTACATCTCTGCTTGTCTTCATGTCTTTGGATTAGAGATTGAAGTGGGTCATGTTGTCCTGGGTGCTAATTAATGCAACAGATTGAAGTCGGTGATGTGCTATGTGAAATTGAGACTGATAAAGCTACGCTTGAATTTGAAAGTCTTGAAGAGGGGTAATTCACTTGTTTTTCACCCTTCCGACTCTTTTTAATGTTTGTTACTGGATGGCTTTTTTGCTTTTGATATTCTGGTAAATTGACATCTTTGCTTCACATTGACAAATTGGAAATATCCTTGAGGTAAACACATGCGTAAAGAGAGAATAGACTTGAGAGACCACCGGATTAAGGATTAATGTTTCAGCAGTCTGATGGGACTTTAAAGTACAGATGCAGTTGGAAGCTTGATTCAAATCGATCTAAGTGATGTAGGAGAAGAGTAAACTAAAGAGAGAATACCAAAATTCACAGAAAATCTCAAAATCAAAATATCATAGGACTAAATAAGAACTGTGAATGAGATTCAAATACGAGTAGCTGATATCCCAGTCCCAAAATACTACGATGGGAGGGCATATCCTTGCAATTAAATAACAGTTGCTGAGTGAAATCTCAGAAATGGATTTTGTATTCTTAAGACATCCTTTAGCCTGACATTCTGTTAGGCTTGAAGTTTGAACAAAAAAATGGCTACAGCGGTCAGCATTTCTTAGTGCTGATTATTGTACTACGTCAACTGAAACTTCATAAACCGACTTCAAACAAGATTATCGGAATTGTTGATGAAATGATTCTCGTGGTCCAGTATACCTGATTTATATTGAGCCTAGAGCAATGAACAGATAACCATATGCGTGTCAATGCAAACTATTCTTTTTGGTATGATGATTGAATTATTCCTGCAGATTTCTGGCTAAGATATTGGTACCGGATGGGTCAAAGGATGTGCCTGTGGGACAACCAATTGCAATAACAGTAAGCCAGTCTGAAGTTTGATTGCTGCATTATTGATGTTTTACATTAACTGATCAGTATTTGATTTAAATTTAAATCGTATTGCAGTCTGTAAACCTAATCTGATGTACTGTTTTGGTTAATTAATTCTGTTGTCCTATGAAGGTTTCTTTATTGAAGATCTTATTTTGTAGCTTGCTAAAATTAACTTTGAGCATGTCATGCTTTGGTGGTTCCAACGTGAAACCAAGCACACAATTTGTAGTCCTCTATGCATTCATTAGGAGTATATGTATATTTATTTTATTATTTTATTTATCTGTTTTTTTTTTCTTTTTTCTTGTGTTCCTACAATGCTAATTAACTACTTCTCTAGTCACTCATTGTTCCTTTAGATCTAAATTCAAAATCAGATTTCTTTTCACAACTTCTTGGCGTGGATCCAGTTAATTTCCATCTGCATGAAAGGAACTTTGATACATTAGTATAAACAATAAACTTGCAAATTGGATACTGGATAGTACAAGTTATAATCTATGGTTTATATGTTTTTAGATGGGTAGATCATATTTTTTAAGTCATCCCATGACGTATCAATTTTTTTTTTTTTTTTAAAAATCATGAAGACTTGTGTAATCTCAATGATGTTTTTATTTCAAACATTTGCTCAGCATAAGAACTAATTATGAGCCTTGACCAGGTTGAGGATCCAAATGATATCCAAAATGTTCCTGCTTCGGTGGGGGCTGAGGTAGGAGCCAAGGAGAAAAAATCTACCAACCAAGAAGTTAATCATGACGAGAGGACACCAGAATCAACTTCCGCTAAAATAAACACATCAGAACTCCCTCCTCATATCCTTCTTGAAATGCCAGCTTTGTCCCCAACAATGGTGAGATTGGTTTGATGCTGCTACATTTTACTACTACTGACCTAGATTTTATTTCCTTCCATTGGGATGTTAATTTATAATTTCTGTACAGAACCAAGGAAACATTGCTAAATGGAGGAAAAAAGAAGGAGACAAGGTTAGGATTGTTTGAATGTCAGGTTTTCAGTCAGCTTTTAATTTTCTGTTGGATTTGATAATATTTGAAATTGTGAAGGATGTTGATACTCGTTAACATCTTTCTTGTCGTTTGTAACTCCTGAACACATATTTGATGGCTTTGACAGATAGAAGTGGGTGACATATTATGTGAGATAGAGACGGACAAAGCTACCCTTGAATTTGAGACTCTTGAAGAGGGGTAATAAAGCTTTACGTAGCATAACATATTAACTTCTAAATAGTTTGATATCTGTTAAGGCAATATCCATGCTATATGTCACGCATTTAGCTTTCTGCTGCAATTTTCATCCATCTTTTCGCTTAGATGCTCCATTTGGAATAATGTGTTGTTGTAGTGAACACTTGACTATTTAAGTAACTTATAAACCTGTTAGTAATATGTCTGACATGTCACTCAATTGTTTAGAACCGTTATGTTTTGATTGAAAAGGAATCATTGAATTTCATCAAGCTGCATAAATAAGTTTGACAAAAGTAAGACTCAGAATGGAGTCTTTGGAAGAATAATCTAATCTTGGATTACATGGTAGATTATAATAATCTCATTATGTAGTTTTTTTCTTTTTGGGCCTGAATCGTATTATGTAGTTTGTCATCTTGTATTCAAGATCTTGAATTGCTGGCCCTTATGCATAAATCATGCATTGGAGTTTGTACATTTAACATAAGGTGTATTTGCACTCTTTTTTTGTTCTTTCTATTACGTTTTTGATTTTTCTAAAAAAAGAAAAAGACTCAAAGAAAAAGAAAAGAAAAGAAATTGACGCTAGCTTTGGTGTAATGTGTATTCTAGATATCTAGCTAAGATATTAACCCCAGAGGGTTCAAAAGATGTGGCAGTGGGACAACCTATTGCAATAACAGTAAGTTTGATTTCATAATGCTTGTTTAATTATTTAGCTTCTGGAAAATCTAGTTAGATCTGTCTTTTGTTTTAATTATTTACTTTAATGTTGGGCTTTCTTTTATGTAATTTTAAATTTGGCTTCATTTTATTTTATTCTATTTAGGCTTAGCTATTATTTTAATTATTGAATTATTGGAGATTGAATTACTCCCTCTAGCCCTAATTATAGGTCAAAGTTAACTACATGATTCCTAAGGAGTAGTGGTTGATCTCTTTAAACTTGTAGAAAAATGTGTTACTTTCCAGTTATGCCCATGCTAACTTGTTGCAATCAAGGAGGGGCAAGATAGGAAATTTTTTTAACTCTCACATCTTTGCCCTATATTTAGAATCAAGTAGGGCCTTAAAACCTAGCCCCATAATTAGGGCCAGAGGGAGTATTGAATTAGGGGCTTAATATATAGCCCTAGGGTACTTGCGTGAAATATTTTCTGTCGACTTTCTCCCCCACTCTTGTTTTCCCTTTATCTCCACTCCCTCCTTCTCCCTCTCCCCTTTTCCCAGTTTCCTCCTTCATTAGGATTTTGTGGTTAGCCAAAGTGAAACATGTATGTTGATGACAAAGGTCCAAAGTTTTGTTAACTTGTTCCGCAATTTGAATTACAGAACCCTCTGACCGAATGACAGCTATTTATTTGCCTGTTTTATGACAAAGCTACCCTTTATTTTCATCCTGCAATGTACTGGAATACATGCAAGTACTTATGCTTCTTTTAACTAGGTTGAAGATGCATCTGATGTTGAAGCGGTAAAGAATTCAGTCAGGAGCAGTTCTGCAAGCCAACAGGAGAAGACCACTCACCATGACACTAGAAGTGAGGGTGGAGCACAGAAGACCAATGCAAGAAGAATTAGCCCAGCTGCAAAGTTGTTGATCCTAGAACATGGATTGGATGCATCCACATTGAAAGCATCTGGTCCTTATGGAACCCTCCTAAAAGGGGATGTTCTTTCTGTTATTAAGTCTGGAAAAATATCTCCGCAACTTGCATCTAAGGAAAACGCACCATCGTCTCAAAGTCATCAACAGGTTGCTGCATCACAAGACTCTAAGTCTCCTTTAAAGCAATCGGATGCTTTTGAAGATTTGCCAAATAGCCAAATCCGTAAGGTAGATCCATTGAATTCAGTTAAAAATGGATGTGGTTCTTTTTCAATTCTTGCTTCTTCTTTATATTATATGTATTTGTGCTGATTTTTCAAAAAAAAAAAAAAAACTTTTTTAGAGAGATGTTGATTCTAAGGGGAAAATAATTCTACCAGAAATGCTATATCATAGTGAGTGTTAGGCTTTAAAGGGACAACATGAGCATAAACTAGGGATAGCTCAGATGAGGATGTTGAGATGGACATGTGGTTACGTAAGAAGGGATTTCTAAGGCCATATATGAGGAAGAGTTGGAGTGGCCTCTGATGAAGAAAGATGGCTGGTAATTTTTCATTAGATCCCTCCCTCACGTAACTTGGTGTTTTTAAGGTCTTTTTTTAATCAAAGCCTTCAATTCTTCATCAATTGTCTCTTTCCATCTTGGGTTTGCAATTGCTTGTCAAAAGATGGCTTATAATTTTTCATTAGAGATGCTTGCTACAAAGCCTTGTAGACTAGGTGATGAATGTTCATAAGTAATGAAATTGCTTATTGGATGCAAAGTGCACTTCTTTGCCGCTTTCATCAAAGCTATTCGCCAATTGAGATCCTTAGAAATGGGACCTGGATTTGATTCTTGGCATTGCTTAGGATTTATGAGTCTCAATAGTGGGTTCTTCAACATCTGGTTCTTTTTGCTGGATGAACCTTTCTTGGTTTTCGTTAATAAGTGACCATATTTTTATGGGAAAATTACGCACCGGTCCCAAAGATGAGACTTTATTCATCTAGGGTCCCATGAAATGTCAAAATTACTAGCAGGTCCCAAGGGGCCTTAGAGTATTATATTCTAATTGTAAAATGACATCACTGCCCCTCAGATTCCCAATTCACATTTTCTCTGCCATTGTGATTGACAACCTCAGCAGTGACTATTAACAACCCAATGAGAAGGTGTTGACAACCTCAGTAGTATCCGTAGACAACTTATTTTGTAGGATTACATAACCTCTGCATAAGAGTAAATTATAACCAAATAGTATAATACGACAATTTTAACATTGAAATGGAAGCTTTTTGAAACCATTAAGAACTTTAACTAAACCCAATAGGATTATAGCGAAATTTTAATGCGAAGATCTATTGACAACCTCAATAGTGAGTATTAATAACCTAAGGAGAGTTGTTGACAGCCTAGGCAGTGTTTGTTAACAGCTGATTTTATAGGATAGTAGAATCTCTGCATAAGATTAAATTATAACTAAATAGTATAACATAACAATTACATAAGATCAACTTTAACACTATTTAGTTATAATTTAGTTAGTTATAGTTGTTAAAGGTTATATTATCCTATAAAGTCAGTTGTTAATAGACACTGCCTAGGTTGTCAATAGCTCTCTTTGGGTTATTAATATTCACTATTGATGTTGTCAATGGATCTCTGCATTAAAATTTTGCTATAATTCTATTGGGTTTAGTTAAAGTTCTTAATGGTTTTGAAAGTTTCTAATTTCAGTGTTAAAGTTGTTGTATTATAGTATTTGGTTATAATTTACTCTTATGTGGAAGTTATGTGATTCTATAAAGTAAGTTGTCAGCGGATATTGCTTAAGTTGTCAATGCCTTCTTATTGAGTTGTTAACAGTCGCTGTTGAGGTTGTCAATCGCAATGACAGAGAAAACGTGAATTGAGAATTTGAGGGGCAGTGATATCATTTTACAATTAGAATATAATACACTAAGGTCCTTTGGGACCTGTTAGTAATTTAGAAATTTCATGGACCCTAGATGAATAAAGTCTCTTCTTTGGGACCTGTGTGTAATTTTTCCTATTGTTATCTGCAAGCTTACCTGCAACCCTCGTTTCAAAGTAATCCCCTTCCAACTGTCTTTTGCGCTGTAGGGGCTGTTTCAGGGTAGGAATTATTGGTAGATTAGGTTCAGGTGTAGAGGTTCAATGCTGAACATTCACTACGGTATGGTTTTTATAATTAGTTTTAGAAGGGTTGTGTTCATAAAATAGGGTCTTAGCAGCAGTCATATGGTTTGAAACACGTTAATTATGCAAGTTATGTCATTCGGTGTATTTGTATGAAATGCATTAGCAAAACTTGTTTTGTCTCTAGTTCCAGTTGCAATGTTGGAATTTGATATAGCTGCTATAGCTGCTGGTTTTAAGAAGACATATAAGAGGAGAGTTGGTAGGAGGTTTGGTGAACAACTGAGGGTAGAAGATGGGGAATATGCTGAAGCTCCAGAAAAGGGGAACAACTCTAATGTGCAGCTAGCTACTAATCTTTTGGGTCTAAATCCTTGTATAGGGGTAGGACTAATTTTTTGGGTTTAATACGTGTTGTGGGGGTGGCATTGAGGGCAAGGATTAATTCTGGAAAAAACCAGTTGTGAGGAGAGACCTGGCCTCTCGAATGCCATGGGGAGTCGCTGGGTTGAGCTATAATCCTTGCATTACTAGTGTTCTTTTGTATTGGTGATTACTGTGTATTATTCCGTACATTAGGAAATAGGGCTTTGGCTTGAATCAGGGAAGCTGAATGTATCTTTGATTCAATTCTGAATTATTAATATCAAAGCCTTAGTATTTTCCTCTTCTAGTATTGTTCTTTTTATTATTATTGTTGGCTGGGACACTGGATGGTTGAAAGTTGAAACAGGGTCACAACAATTGGTATCAGAGCAGGCGATCCCCGGCACACTATCAACCAACGCAGTAATGGCAGACGAAGTACGATATGCTAGTCCTGAAGTGCAGGAGCTAAGAGAAACAGTAGGAGGGTTGTCCAGGGATGTGAGAACATTAAAGGAGGCCGTTGACCAGATTCAAGAAGCGGTTGTGCAGTTATTGGGGCAAAGACAAAGAACAGAATCCAATACTGGTGAAAGGAGCAGACGGATGAGGGGGAAAGCCAGGAGAGTCACGGGGGTGCTGCCAAAGAATTGGGAAAGTATAGGAAATTAGAGTTACCTATTTTCACAGGAGAGGATCCGTTGGGGTGGTTCTTTCGAGTAGAGCGATATTTTAGGGTCAACCATATAGCGGAGGAAGAGAAAATGGAAGCTGCCATGGTTTGTCTCGAAGGAAAGGCTTTGAATTGGTACCAGTGGGTGGAATCCCAAACGACTATTCGTGGCTGGCAGGAATTTAAAAGCGAAGTCTTACGGAGGTTTCATCCTTCACAGCTAGGGGATGAATATGAAATGTTGTACTCAGCAAGGCAACACTGCTCTGTTCTGGAGTTTGTGGAGGAATTCGAGCGCCTTGCAGCACCTCTGAAGGACGTGTCCGAAGAGAGTTTGGTGGAGCTTTTCGAGTGGCACTGAAACCTGAGATACGGGCGGAAACTCTCTTACCGGCGCCTCCTCGCTGCGTGAAGTTATGGAGATGGCAATCAGAGTGGAGGAGAGGAACATGGTAGTCGAATCCAGGAGGGACGACTGGGCAACCCGATTTCAGAGGTACCTAATGGGCCTAAATCAGATCCAGGCCCGACACCAATACAGCAGGGTCACTCACTTACCCGAAACGGAAGAAGATGGTGTCGTTTTTCTTCTGCGACCCCGGACGCTGCGAAGAGATCAGATTGGAAGGGGACTGAGTCAAAAGGCAGTAGTTCTTCGCAGCGACGAGCGGACGGCGAAAACAGGGATGTTTGGTCAACGATTGTCCGACGCCGAGTGGTCCGACGGAGGGACGGAGGGAGCAAGGATTTGTTTTAAATGTGCTGAGAAGTTTGGGCCGAATCATGTCTGCAAAAACAAAAATTTACAGTGTTGATTCTGGACTGGGACGCCGAGAAGGAACACCCCTGGAAGGAAGGGATTGAGGTCGAAGAAGAAGAAGAAGAAGTGGGAGATGATGGAGAAGCCATGAAAATGGAGCTGTCCCTCAATTCAATTTCCGGTTTCGGCGATAATCACACAATGAAGGTGCGGGGACGACTGGCCGAGGAGGAGGTTATTATCTTAATTGATAGTGGTGCTTCCCAAAACTTCATCTTTGAGGAGTGTTAGTGACCAAAACGGGAATCAAAGTTGATGAGATTGCAGAATATACAGTAGCCGTGGGGGATGGCCACCGACTACGAAGGCGACAACGGTGTCCGCATGTCGCACTCAAGGTGCAGGAACTTGAGATTGATCAAACGTTCTACCCGTTTCCGTTGAGGGGAGTGGATATGGTATTAGGAATGAGTGGTTGAAGTCACTGGGAGACGTAAATG